ACTAACAGTTAGTGTAACTTTTTTTGCGCTAACAAAATTTTGACTGTCAGATAGTGTAACTGATTTGAAGCTAACATTTAGTGTAACTTATACCAAATTAAGCTACACTACACTACACTACATGCCTAGTTACGCTAAGCTACAGTAGAAGTTACACTACACATGTAGTGTAGTGTAAATCATCAATTAGAGAAATTGACATGTCAAGTGAGAATTTATGCTCTTGAACCCTCTTCCTCTGCTTTCTGTTTTCAATGGATAAGTTGTGTGAACCGTCCATATAACTGATACGGCCGAGGTCCATAGTGACGATTTTCAATGTCCTATGATCACACACAATTCCGCAGAAAATGCACAGCACAAGATGTAGAGACAAACAAACGGAGGATGTGCCTGGTGAGATTTGAACTCACAACCTCAGCAATGCTGAGTCACATACCAGAGTGCTTCCTTTACCAACTAGGCTACAGACCCTTGTGGTTGTAAGGTTATTTGGGTGGTAGTTGCCATGGTTCATGCCAACAGCTCCACCACACTCTGGTGATACATCATGGTTACACCTCAACCTCCCCCCCCTTGCTACATGATGTGAAAGTGGAAATTGAACAAGTGTGTGAATGGAACCCAGTAAAGTATGGTCTGAGGGGGAATTGAACCCATAATCTCAAGGTAGTCTGACAGGGGAATGTGGTCTTGCAAGTAAGTGTTAAAAATTGGCAGGGGGCTAAAATTGAGTGGCCCCCATTACCAACTGAAAAAAATGATGATCAATTGAGGGGATCTGGATGTAGGCCCCCCAATCAGGCACTGTCTTCAGGGTATACTAATGCTAGTCATGTGGTCATGTAACTTTTAATCAGTTACGCTAACAGTTAGTGTAACTTTTTCACCAGTTACGCTAACAGTTAGTGTAATTGAGGGTACCACTACACTAACTGTTAGTGTAACTTTGCAAAAAGTTACACTAACATGTAGTGTAGTGGGTTCACCCACTAACACCACTAAAATTTCACTAACAGGATTTTGGGTAGTGTTAGTTGTGCCTTTTTAAAGGTAGCTAACACTACGCTAAAGTTTTTTTTTGCTTTTTCAAAAATCCTGTAGTGTTAGTGGGCCAAAAATTCATGCTAACGGTAACTTTTGTGTAGCGTAGCTTAAAAAGCTAACACTACCCTGCACTAACACTACGGTTAGTGTAACTGGCCCACCGTTGCTGTAACCACGGGTACAGCTACCCAGTCAGGAAGTAATGATGCAATGCCAAGTTATTGCTAGGGTTCTATATGCCCAAAGGAGACTTTTTGTTTCGTCTCCAATCCATTTTGGAGGGATTTGGATGAGGTATTCTGATATGTACTGGCTGAGAACAGGTTAAACTACTTGGGCCAGATTGAAATGGGCCAATTCTCAACCCTGTTGATTTCAAACTGGACCAGGGTTGTTCTGGTGGATGGCTGATGCAAGAGGATATTCTGAGTTCGCTCAGAAAGGTTATTAAGGTTAGGGATAAACAAAACAGGTTACATGACCAAGTGGCTGGTCAGGGTTCAGAATATGTAGTCTAAACTGGTTACTTGGTTATAGTTGCTGAACTACAAGGTTGTACATGTTGCACAAGCCTTGGAACCTTGTTTATCTTGAGTTCGCATCCAGTGAACTTTGTTTATGTCATCAGCTGATTTGGTTCTGTAACTTTAAATGTCTGTAACTCTTTAGTTATTAGGGGGTATCAAATATAACCAAATCCACCATTAACTAATTGACTGGTTTGAAAAAAACCCCCCTTTTTTAAACATGTTGGTTATCCATTTAACCCCTTTTGGGGCCCATTTATGCAAAAAAAGGTTTTTGGAAAAGTGACTGGTTTCTGATGGTGGATATCCTATATTTGATACCCCCTATTGATTATTTTACAGAATTCTTTGTTTTTTGAGTATGTAGTTACACAGTGGTATGTAACTACATGAATTTTGTTTTTATTTTCTAAGTAAAGTAAAAAAGTTTATTTTTATTTTTAAAGGCCTTTGTGGTCATTTGCAGGCTTTTGACCATATACACTTTTATATATAGATTTTTATGCTTAATATTAATTTATTATTTATAATATTTTTTCTTGGGCTAGTCTTGAGACTTGACTATGAGTTGTAATTGTTATTTTTATTATTCTATATTTTGAGGCCTATGGGTATGTATATACCTCAAGGCTGACAGCAGGGGTCAATCAATCATCATTATTTGGATCCACGTGGATGACGGAATTGTATTCAGCAACAACACAACAGTGTTGGATCAGCTCCGTGAGAATCTTGAGTCAAGCTTACGAGTCAAATGGGACGCAAAGCCGGAGAAATTAGTTGGACTCAAGCTAGAATACTCCGACGACGCAATTTTCCTCAGTCAACACTTACTCATCGACCAGACCATCAAGAAATTCCGCAAACAGGTCCAGGACCACATCATTCCAACATATACTCCCTTACTAGGCAACACACTTGTCACAAACTGGGGTGATCCTGTATCCCCGACTCTATACCAGTCATTCACCGGCTCCCTAAATTACCTAGCGCTCGGCACACAACCTGATCTCAGTTATGCGGTCAATTATTTGGCCCTTTTCAGTTCAAATCCCAACAAAACCCATTGGGCGGCTCTATCACATCTCATCCAGTATCTTGCATTGAACAGGGACAAACGGTTGAAATTGGAAGTAACGTCAGACTCGTTGGTCACGTGGATGCCAACTGGGGCGGTGAGTTCCAACGCTCAACATCAGGTTTCTTGGTAGTCCGATTGCATGGGGGTCAAGACGTCAAAAGGTGGTGGCAACGTCGACTTGCGTGGCAGAGTTCATTTCCCTTGGTTCTTCAGTTGATTTCTTATTATTCCTCATTCCAATGATCAAATCTCTCGACTTCAATCCCCCACTTCTTCTCAAATGCAACAATAGGGCAGCGGTGTTAGTCTCAGACGACAACGCTTCAAAAGGCCAAATGAAAAGCTTAGAACGCAACTTCTTTTTTGTAAATGATGTGGTTCGTGAGCACAGCAACAAGCTTGATTGGGTTTCCACTTCTTCCAACATCGCCGATTTTTTCACTAAATCTCTCCGGGCTAATCTCCACTCAATTTCTTTGAATAAAATATTCCCAAAATAAAAAAAAACCTCTCTCATATGACTGCTTTCATTATTTTGATTATTTTCCTATTGATTCTCTTCAAACATTGATGCTTCAAGTTTTTTTATCTCCTACCTTATTATTCTTATCTTATTTCACTTTTATTTTCATTGGCCATGTTTCATTTTCTTCATCTCCATTTCATATTTTTCATGTTTTCTTGATTCCTTTATATCTGTCTCTATCATTCTCATAGTTGTAAGCACTGGTGTGGAGTTTGAGGGGGGGGGGTTGTATGGGTGAGCAAACTCCACATTTGGAGTATGAAGAATACAAGAGGGGAAGCGGGGGAGAAGCAATGAACACCAGGCATTCCAACTACAACACATATCACAAAGCCAATACCCAGTCAAGCACATGTCACAACCCTCAAATCACCTCTAAGTTATGCTTATACACAGCTCACGGTATACACATAATTTCCCACACCCCTTTATCTCCACCACATATATTAGTTTGGTTCTATTTGTCACCTCATGCACTGCCTTTGCAGGCTGTGCAGTCTTGATTGAATTACTTTTCCCACAGTTTATTAATTTTCTCACCTCACTTATGACAACAGCTGAATTTTTCCCACAATTTATAGCCTCATTTGACACTTTCTCACATTATTTATGCACTGCAGCACAGCCTTTGACATTAATTGTACACAGCCTCACTGGTTAATTTCCCTCACTTGCATGATCAGACTAGCTAAATTCACTCATTTGTACCTACAGGCCAGCTAAAATCACTCTTTCTTGTCTGCCCTGGAGCTAAATTCCCTCACATTTGTCTATAAAAGGAGGCTCTCTTCTCCCCATTTGTTGACTCATTCATTCCAGTGCACTAATCCACTCATTCACTCATCTACTCATTCACTCAGTTCATCACTCGGCAGTCAATCAATATATGACTCACCAGTTACAAACAAATTATATAAACCTTTCACCTGTTACACAACATAACAGTTTCTTTTATAAGCAATTATATATTCAACCTTTACCTTTCATCAAACAAAGTTTTTACCGGAACCGACCAACCCTAACATGTTATTAACACTTACCAAGCTAAGCTTGGGGGTCTTGTTTCTGATAATATAGAAGGGCAGAGCCAGAGTTTGCACCTCCATTTTTCCCCTTCCCAATTCAGCAAAAGGGTTTCACAACCACTTTTGAGTCTTACAACGGTATCGGATCAGATTGATTTTTTGATACCAGGTATCAAAAAATAAGGGATTGGATCAGGATAGGTATCACATTTCAATCCCAATCCGACACCCAAAGGCTGCAGGCCGTGTTCCTCACACTTTGGTATCATCCAAAGTGTAACTGATCCAATCCCTGGATCGGGTCAAAAATGGACCCAATACCGGGTATTGGTATTGGATTGCTTCACCCAATCCCATATGTCCAATAAATTGGGATTGGATTGAAGATCAATCCAATAGGGGGTACCAAATATAGGAAATCCACCATCAGAAACCAGTCACTTTTCCAAAAACTTTTTTTGCATAAATGGGCCCCAAAAGGGGTGAAATGGATAACCAACATGTTTAAAAAATGGTGGATTTTTTCAAACCAGTCAATTAAATAATGGTGGATTTGGTTATATTTGATACCCCCTAATACTGATGCCCGGTATTGGGTCAATTTTCAATCCAATACCCGATAAATACCAATCCAAGGATTGGATCAGTTTCATCGTTGGTTCTAGATTCAATAATAAATCCTGTTTTTCATCACGATTAACAGTTGAAACCAAAAATAACCACCCATCAACCTCATGAACAATCCAAAAGAAACTCAAAAAAACAACCAAAACACAGACATCAAGAACTCAGACATGGAAAAAATCAACTCTACCATCCTCAAAACAGCTCTCAAGGCTATTCCTCTCCTCACCGCCAACAACTACACCCTTTGGCAAAATTGCATTGACGACATGCTTGATTTGCAAGGACTTTGGGATTCTCTGACATCAGAGAAAGGTACTCTAACAATCTTCAAACAATTATCACTTCCAAGCTAGACTCATCCATTCACCCCAACATCATCAATCACGATAACAAAAAGGATGCTCAAAAGATATGGTCTTCCATATCTGATTTTTTTGCCTCTACTCAACCCACTAATTGCGCCCGAGTTTTCAATGAATTACTAGACTTGTCCTTCAACTCCAACAATGTTCAACCCTTCATCACTTTGGTTCGAACAATCAACTCTCAACTTTTCAAAATTGGTATTGATTTACCTCACAATTTAGTCACTTACATTCTTCTCAAGAAACTTTGTCCTTCCTTGAAGAACATCAGTCAGAAAATTACACATTCTGACAAACCTCTCACCAGCAATCTAGTTTTAGATCATCTCAAGTTGTTCAACAACAATCAAGCAGCCATTGCTGCTAGAAACACTGGATCAAAAACTGAAGTTGTGGCTCTTTATTCCAATTTCTCAAAGAAATGCAAGATAATGGCTCACAATTTCCTCTCCAATCATCCTGGATCCTCGTGCTGGATGTTATATCCTCACCTTCGACCAGCCAACGGTGTCAAAGCAAACCAATCAGAATCAACGGTCAGCAGCTTTCACACATCTCAATTTATTCTTGATTCAGGATCGTCTGCTCACATGGTCTCAAACTCTGAACTCTTTTTTGCCATCGATTGTACAGAAAAAGGATCAGTGAAAACTAGCTCTGGAAAGATTCTCTGGTCATCAAGGGGATTGGACCAATCAAGTTGATAAATGAACACGGCTCCACAATTTTGAATGATGTTCTCTATGTTCCCAAATTAGTTGTTAATCTCCTTTCGGTCAGATGTCCAGTGTTAGATAATTATGGTGTAGAGTTCTCAAAAAACTCGTATCGTATCTTTAAATATGGAAAAATTTAAATGAATGGAGTTCA